GATAGTTAATAGCCCCACGTCATACAACTTTGACCTTTACTTTTCTGTGTAGCCTTGTAACTTTCAGGTATTCTTCTGCGGAAGAAATCTGGCACTCTGTTAAAATAGCATCGGTAAAATAAAAAACACCTTAAGTATATCATATACATAAAGGGAAAGCAGTTACCGTGTGTATTTTTCCATCTAAACCAAAGCGTTGCTTATTTTAGCCAGTGGGCTTGACTCTTCTTCCTCACAGTGCCATCCACAAGTGTAACAGTTTTTACATCTAATCCTTGTTTTTAATTCATGGACTGAAGATGAAAAGGAATTTGCCTGCCTTTTCGTTACTGAAATGATTTCTCAGCTTTGAAATGGCTACTGTCTGAACCGAAATCCACTAATGTATCTTTGTACCCGAATATTGCTAAGCTGTCACAGCTGGGCTAGCGCTGTAGCAAACCCTGCTTCCACGGGTATGGTCACTGGCTCCAAACACTTAACATGTACTACTTGATTTTTTTTCGTGTCTAGATCATTTTAATAAATTATTGTAAATTAAAAACTTCAGTTGCTACCTATCCTCAGGTTGAAAAGAAAATATTTAATACGTATTTCAATAGCCATCACTATTAGTTTTAAACCTCTACTTCTATCTATTCTGATGCTTTTTTTTTAATATACGTATCAGACCATTTTTCCACGTTAGCATCATATTGTGTTGTGTGTACGTCTGTCCTGGATTTCATCAGAAAGCAGGTTCAATTGAATCCAGCATTTTACAAGACAGCTTTCCAGCTGCAGAGGGTGCAGAGGTCATGTCCGTCTCGCGGCGTGCGCCTCGCAGCCCCCGTCAGCAGCAGCACACGTGAGCACAAGCTGGACGAAGGCTGCTCACCACATCACTTTTCCAGCTCCACCCCAGGAAGCCCTCAGCCCGTGGTCGGTGTCTGCAGCCTTTGCGTCCCGGCACGCAGAGGCAGCATGTTGCAAGGCTTGGCCCTTGTGTACACCCTTCGCCCTGGTGAGCTGGGGCAATGCACGGGAAACGCCGAGCTCTGGGTTGCTGCCTGCCCGGGATTGATACGATGCAGTATCAGCCATCACCGGCTAGTTCTGCAAAGTTAACCACTGGATTTCTGCTGCAGTTTGGCCAAATATTAAACATGAGTAATATTGTGACTGCGGGGTTTTCACCACAGAGAGAACAAGTTTGAAACCCTGAGATAAAAGCCTTGGTCACAGCCAATACTGAGGCCATCCTTCTAAAGAGAGGATTAAAGGATAATAAAATCACTAGCTTACATGTTAGTAAACAGTCAGCAGCGTGCCCAAGTCCAACAGGTCAGTTGGGTGCTTATAACCAGCACAAAAACATATGACAAGCGGAGAAATTGTGCATCACAGAGTCCAGCTTTTGCTATCACAGACAAACAGGTTGTGAAATCCCACTTACAAACTTTATGACCTTCGTTTTCGAACTACTTAGATTTCCTCCTGCCACTTTCCCCCCTCACCTCAGCAGATCCCGTTGGGAAGCTGCTCTTGTTTTGCCTCCACTGAGAGCCAAAGTCTTCTCATTTCCTGGCTAAATTTATCCAGAGGTAGTTAGTTGTGTGCCCATCCTACGTTCTAACTTAAAAAGCACGCCCCTCTGTCTGCGGTGGTGTACCCCCTCTTGCATACCCAGACGCACACACAGAGGGACCGGCTTTAGTGACATTTCCAAAACTCTATTTTAATCTTAAGATTTTAGCTATAAAAAAATATTACATTTGACCAAAAAATTGAGAGACCTGTCAAGGTCTTATGTCTTCTTTATCTCTCGACAGATTTGGAAAATTAGAAAATAAGTTGAAATTTTTGTAAAAAATTTCCAAAAAATGTTGGTTATATTATAATTCCTCAGCCTGAACAGCTTTGAAGAATGGATTTTGCCTAGTCCTTCCACCAGATATTTGCTCCTCTTGCGAACAGTCAGAGCAGGACCAGATGCCCCGCAGGTGTGTGTTTAAGCAGCACCTCCAGCAGCCTCAGGCCACAGAACCACAGTAAGGACCAGCTTGACTGAGAGGGAGCTGGGGCTCCTCAAAGCCCCCACCAAAGCCCTGTCCTGCCCGTGCAGGTGCAGAGGGGACACGGCCCCAGCCGGACCTGGCATTGGTCAAGGCAGAGCAGGTTTGGGTCTTCTCTAAACTAGACGCGCATGCTGAGTAACACCAGGAGCACAGCAACAGCTCCCTGCCACGTTCGTGTTGCCCCTCACACCTTAGGTCTGGGCCGCCTCTTCTTCCTCCTCTGTCCCCGAGAATCACGCCACAAACCCCCTCAGCCTGCCAGCCCTTTCGAGCCCTTCCACGAGCTGTTTCTCTAAAAGCAGGCGGGCTGCTCCGCTTTCAGAAAAATAAGAATTTTTACTTTCACAAATTAGAGATGCAATAAACTCTTAACAACAAGACCAGTCATTTATTGTCTTGAGGACTAAGAAAAGATTTGCCTTTTTCTTCCCCACCTTCCCTGCTGTGTTTGCCAAAACCAGCAGAAGCAAACACCCCAGAGAGCGAGCCGTACTCACAGGCAGTCCCGCTTGCTCTGCACCTTACCCGACAGCTGCGATTTCTGCGTCCCAGCAATACCATCCCACCATTCACGAGCCAGAAGCTGGATTCAGAGCAGTACCGGGCTCACAAGGAAGTCGTCAGCCCGTATTTAGAGGCTTTATGGCAAGGCTGATGTCAACTGAGCGCAAACAAGTGCAGTGAGCAGGTTAGAGCTCATTCTATAGGAAGGTTTTACTTCCTCATTTGGCTGGCCGAGCTCTCATTTAACTCTGCAGGTTGATAAACTTTCACTTCATTTTTCAGAAAGAAAAAAAAAAAAAAGAGGTTCCCAACACATCTCTGTTCTGAGTCACAGGCAAAGATTAGTCAAACCCACTCTGGCAGGGATACACAATGGTGGGCAGTAAGAAAATGGCATATGAATTCTGGGGCAAGTGAAAAGTTTTCCATCAGGGATGCTTTACCAAGTTATTTCAGCCTCATTCCCCTTGTGTCTGGAAAATTTCTGACCTTCAGGGACACATGGAAAAAAAAAAACCTTAAAAATCAACACTTTGCTTAGGACCTGATATTGCGAAGCCTCAGTCAAACACCTCCGCATCTGAGGGAACCTGCTCTGGCAGACTACAGTAAAGTATCAAAACCGAAACCAAACCCCCTAACCTACCGGTGCCTTGATTGAAAGACGACTCCAGAAACACGCAGCCTGTCCTCTGCAAAGACCGACGGGCACTTCCCAATAGAAACCTGAGGTTTTCCTCTGCTTGTTCCTTACCTTGCTGCAAACAAACACGCCCCAAACCCACTTTAGGCAGCAGGAAGGGTTGGAGGCTCAAGGTGGGGTTAACCTCTGGGACGGCTGGGATGCTGCAGACAGCTCTGCAGGCGTGATGGCCTCTGCCCACAGGGCCAGGGAGGGTGGGGGTACCCCACTGTGGAAGGAGAGCACCTCTGCCACTGTCGCAAGGTGACACACCAGAGCAGGGCTGCCCTTTCCCGGC